AGTCCCCAGGCCGCATTCCGGCCGGTCCGGAGTCCCTCCCTGACCGGACCCCTCAATGTCCACTCACTGTCCACTCAATGTCCCCAATGTCCACTCATCTTCAATGTCCACTCAATGTCCACTCAATGTTCACTCAATGTCACCAATTTTCTCAATGTCCACTCAATGTCCACTCAATGTCCACTCACTGTCCACTCAATGTCCACTCACTGTCCCCAATTTCCCCAATTTTCTCAATTTTTTCACTGTCCACTCAATGTCCACTCAATGTTCCCAATGTCCACTCACTGTCCACTCACTATCCACTCAATGTCCACTCACTGTCCACTCACTGTCCACTCACTATCCACTCAATGTCCACTCAATGTCCACTCATTGTCCACTCACTGTCCCCAATTTCCCCAATTTTCTCAATTTTTTCACTGTCCACTCACTGTCCACTCTGTGTCCACTCTGTCCACTCTCCGCAGCCCCGCGAGTCCCCAGGCCGCATTCCGGCCGGTCCGGAGTCCCTCCCTGACCGGACGCCCCGTCCGGAGCGTCCGCGCGCCCGTGACCGGCCGAAGCCGCGGCGCCGCCCTCGGCCCAAGGACTCCGGCCAAAGCTCGGCCGAACCGCGGCGCTCGCGGTCAGCGCCGGCTCAGGCCGGCTCCGGCCCCTCGCCGCCGGCTCCGGCCACTCCGCCAGGACACCGAGTGACCCACGAGGGGTTCCTGCTGAGGAAACACGAGATGGACGGAGCGGCCGGAAAGAAAGCGTCCAATCGGTGAGGGGACAGTGGGTGGACAATGGGGGGACGGTGGGGGGACAGTGAGTGGACAGGGGGTGGACAGTGAGTGGACATTGAGGGGACATTGAGGGGACAGAGAGTGGACATTGAGTGGACAATGGGTGGACAGGGGGTGGACAGAGGGAGGTGGCCAGAGGGACATTGGGGACATTGAGTGGACAGTGAGTGGACAGAGGGTGGACAGTGGGGGGTGGCCGGAGGGATATTGGGGACATGGAGTGGACATTGAGTGGATGTTGAGTGGACATTGAGTGGACAGTGAGTGGACATTGAGTGGAAAATGAGTGGACAGTGAGTGGACAGAGGGTGGACAGCGGGGGGTGGTCGGAGGGACATTGGGGACAGTGAGTGGACATTGGGTGGACAATGAGTGGACATTGAATGGACATTGGGAGGATGTTTAGAGGACATTGAGGGGACATTGAGTGGACAGTGAGTGGACATTGAATGGACATTAAGGGTGAGATCATTGGGTGGACAATGAGTGGACATTGGGTGGACACTGGGGGGACATCGAGGGTTGGAGCTCCACCAAACCTCGGAGCTCCGCCAAATCTTGGAGCTCCACCAAACCTCGGAGCTCCACCAAAACACGGAGCTGTACCAAGGTTCGGAGCTCCACCAAACCTCGGAGCTCCACCAAGATTTGAGGTTCTCCAAGGTTTGGAGCTCCACCAAAGGTCCGAGCTCCACCAAATCTCAAAGCTCCTCCACAACTCAAGGTTCTCCAGTGGTTGGAGCTCCACCAATGGCGATGCCCCACCAAAACTCGGAGCTCCAGCGAGGTTTTGAGCTCCACCAAACCTTGGAGCTCCACCAAGATTTGAGGTTCTCCAGTGGTTGAAGCTTCACCAAACCTTGGAGCTCCACCAAACATCAAAGCTCCACCAAGATTTGGAGCTCCACCATTGGTAATGCCCCACCAAAACCCGCAGCTCCACCAAGGTTTGGAGCTCCACCAAGGTTTGGAGCTCCACCAAAGCTCGGAGCTCCATCAAACCTCAAAACTCCACCAAGATTTGAGGTTCTCCTATGGTTGGAGCTCCACCAAACCTTGGAGCTCCACCGAGGTTCTGAGCTCCAGTGAGGTTTTGAGCTCCACCAAACCCTGGAGCTCCACCAAACCTTGGGGCTCCACCACAATTTGAGGTTCTCCACCAAAATATGGTGGATTAGAGCTCCACCAAAGCTCGGAGCTCCATCAAACCTTGGAGCTCCACCACGTTTTGAGGTTCTCCAGTGGGTGGAGCTCCACCAATGGCAATGGCCCACCAAAACCCATAGCTCCACCAAGGTTTTGGGCTACACCAAAGCTCGGAGCTCCACCAAAATTTTGGGTTCTCCAAGGTTTGGAGTGCCACCAAAGCTCGGAGCTCCACCAATGGCAACGCTGCACTAAAACCCACAGCTCTATCAAGGTTTTGAGCTCCACCAAACCTCGGAGCTCCACCAGAATTCAAGGTCCCACCACAATTTGAGGTTCTCCAGTGGTTGGAGCTCCACCAATGGCAGAACCTGCACCAAAACCCGCAGCTCCACCAAGGTTTTGAGCTCCACCAAAACTCAGAGCTCCACCAAGGTTTTGAGCTCCACCAAAGCTCAGAGCTCCACCAAGGTTTTGAGCTCCACCAAGGTTTGGAGCTCCACCAAAATTCGAGGTTCTCCAGTGGTTGGAGCTCCACCAAAACCCGCAGCTCCACCAAGGTTTTGAGCTCCACCAAAGCTCGGAGCTCCACCAGAATTCAAAGTCCCACCACAATTTGAGGTTCTCCAAGGTTTGGAGCTCCACCAATGCAGAACCTGCACCAAACCTCAGAGCTCCACCACAGTTTGAGTTTCTCCAAGGTTTGGAGCTCCACCAAA